ATATCGTTCCATCTCATTTCGCCTGGCCACTCTTTGACTCAAAGGGGCCAAACACACGCAGCACTAGCTGATATGTGAAGTGGCCAACGATCGAATATCGACTAAGCAAGAATTAGTATAGCATGTGCGCTGCGCTCGGCTACGTAGCAAGTCCGAAACGCGCAATAACAGATATAGGCATAAGAGGCAAAACAAACAAACGAAACAAACAAAAAAAAAAAAAAAAAAAAGAGCGGAAGAAACATCGTCATGACACGCTCTTGTCCCTGGAGAGGCTCGTCAGTGTCTACAGAACCGACTCGGACGTTGTTCTTCTACAAAATGGCGTGCAGCACGAATTCAGTCAGATGCGGAAGGTATATCCACCGCGAGAAAAGTTGGCAAAAGCAGGGCGTCAAAAGTGAGGCAGTCTCAAAGGCTCATATCAACCAAAGCAGATGCGGTTACGTACGAATGCCACCGGAGCACGGGGAGTTGGCTTTCTTGCAGGTTCGCACCCAAGCGTGGGCTGCTTGGCGCACTAATGGTCATGCTGTTCCCATGCGCCATGGATCCCGTATTCAAGGGCACGGACGTAGCCCGAGCAATCAAACCGCCATGAGCCCCGCTTTTGGTGGAAGACACGAGGCTCAGCGCCGAACTACCCGAACGGTAGCCTGTCGGCAACTCAAGACCATTGGAGGAAAGAAGTTGGTGTACAGGCCGCACTGGATCTGTATGTGCCCGTGGTCGCTGCTTGCGAGCTGGCCGGGGTCCACCCGATCCGAGTCCGCCGCCGGACAAAGCGCTCACTTCGCGTCGGGGTCGCGTGTTGCGCATGGCCGAAAAAGAGGGGGATGACAGGGGTGACATGGATCCGCGCCGCACCACGCGCGCGTAGTTGGACGTGCTGCTGACGTCTGATGCCGCTTGTTGACTGTCACTTCTCCGTGGCCGAACGGTGCGAGCCGAGTCGGTGGCCAGGCTCTAAGCAAGGACGAATCGCGGGTGAGCCATTGGTGCATGAGTCTGCCGTGGAGGATGCGACAGGGAGCGCCATCGCCTCACTCACGCTTTGACGGGTTTCCAATTGTGAGGCTGTGGTCGCAGTGGAGCTTCGCCGCGACTGACTTATAAAGATCACTGCACACAAAGCGCGCGAGACCTCGTCAGCTTCACAAAGCACAGCAAGTTGGCAAGGTTTTTTTTTTTTTTCTCAGCTGCGCGAATACGTACGCTCCAACAGCTGACTCAGTCTGTAGGCCGAGGGTCGGTGGTGTGGCTGAGTATTAAAACTAGTATTGTACAATCAACTCCATCAGCACAATCAATGACCAGGGTTGGTCCATCTACTACCCCAGCAGCACACACAGGGCTCGGAATGGTTCGTACCAGAGCGACACGAGCTGTTGCACACGGGGATCCATTGTCTTGGGCATAGGCAGGCGATATCCTTCCATTACTGAGGATCAGGCGGTGGCGAAGCGTGAGTGATGCACATTCTGCTAATAATTCGATATCTTTCTTGGGAAAGAAAGCAAACCAAAGCAAAAAAAAAAAAAAAAAAAAAAAAAAAAAAAAAAAAAAAATTGCTAAAACCAAATCCAAAGTAGCATGGGCCTACCTCGAAGGCGAACCATGTCGTTGGACCATCCAGTGTATGGCAGGCGCCCAAATGTCCAAAACTCATACATGGTGACGCCGAGGGAAAAGATGTCAGAGGCTGGGCTGAAGCGGTAGTCGCGTAGGCTTTCGGGTGCCATCCAACGATAAGGTAAAAAGTCACTCTTTTCGTTGATATCTGAGAGCGCGTGCAAAGTCAAGAGTCAAATACCTTGCCACAGCACTATTGCGGAGAATGGCGTGCGCTCGGAGAACGACACGTACAATAGTTGGTCATGGCATCAAGCTTGCGCGACAGCCCAAAGTCGGCCAGGACCAGACGCTGGTCTCCCATTAAGAGACAGTTTCTAAAAATTGACAACAAGCGCCATAACACAAGAGGTCGGCGTCAAGGCACGTGCAGCTGCGTGCATCAATGGGGTGTGCGTCCACATGTGGGGGTTTATGATGAAGGCATTAAGCATGGTTGTGACGAACCGGGCGCTGATATCAGCATGCACCACCTGGCGCTCATGAATGTAGCGGAGCGCAGCCAAAAGGTGATCACACCAGGTGAGCAGGTCATTATTTGTGACCTTGAAACCAGATGACCGCAGGTAGCTGCCCACGTCACCAAGAGGCGCATATTCGGTCACAATCATCAGGGGCATGGTGGTCGATGAAACGCCCAACAATTTGATCACCTGACACACAAAGTAAAGGTGAGGTGACATGCCAGCCACGACATGCGTCACCTAACGAAGCGCGCCATGAGTGAGCGTGGCGGAAAAAAGGTTGTGACTGACATTTGGATGGCCAGGGTTAGATATGGCCTTGAGTGCTGATGCTTCAGCACGATAGGCCAGTGCTGCAGGCGCCATGTGACTGCGCTCTGGCTCAAACAGCTTGACAGCCACCCTATCCGAGCACGCCATCGTTGTGAGAGGGAGGGCGTTCTTTTGAAGACGAGCCAGAGTCTTTGCAAGCCAAGGCAGCAAGGGTAAAAGGCAATGGTGGCCACGTACGAGGCAATCTCAGGCAGTTGCTCGTGAATGTTGTAGGCACGAGCACGGACCACGGTGCCGTAGGCGCCAGCGCCCAGCACATCACCCAATACCAGCTGGGACCGATCCAATTCAAAGCGGTCAAGCCACACCGCCACGCCCTTTTCAATGCTATCTTGGAGAAGGCGCTCCAAGTCCTCGTTGTCGCTTGCTGGGAGACCATGCAATGCAGACCCTGCTTTGGAGTTGCTCGATTTTCTTTCTTCTACTGGTTCCCATTGTCCTACGAGTAGCCAAAAAGTGAGCAAAGCCCATCGTCTGTCGATCACCAACGATGGACCAGCGGTGGCAAGAGCAGCGTGCAGCTCAAAGCAAGGGAGATATTATCATGTACCTAGGCGGCGAACGAGGGCCATAATGACAAGAGCCAGGCAGACCACAAGAGTGCCCAGCGTGACCACGACTGGAATGACCCAGGCGGGAAGGTGCTCATGCGAGGATGTAGTTGCGGTGCTCTCGACGGTGCCACCTGCCACTTTGGTGCTGGCCACGGGAAAGAACGTGCTGGAAGCTCGCAGATGGGTATCAGAATGTATGCTGGGAGTCGAAGACGTGGCAGGTAACGCGGTTCGGAGGTTTGTGTCAGAGGCCTATGATGATTCGGCGATGGCACGATCATGAGTCGAGGCTCACTGGACCTCATTGATGCTTGTAACACAAACGACAACAAGACATACGTTGGCAGGTAGAGGAATTGGAAAGGGGCCATGTTGCTGTAAAATAGCATCTCTTTCGCTTGCAGTGCCGCCCAAGGGTAGCTACCGGCAAGTGTTCGACGTGTTCAACACACGAGTCAATGCATGCACGTGTGCGGGTGGGAGGGCAGCCGAGCAGGAACGTACGAATACAAAGCCGACCAAGGTGATGCTGTTAGCGACCAACTTAGGTCCAAGCTACGGGAGATTCATGTCAGACAAGCAACAGCCGATTGTGTGAGATTCGTTCACAGGTTCACGGGTGGATTCGATTCGTTTTTCACTGAGTTTGGTCCAACACGGAAGGGCGGCACACGAAAAAACAAAATGTACCTTGGCAAGGGGAAAGCCTGACTTGTTGTGGGGGCCGGGGATGAGGAGTCGGGCTTGAGTTGGGGATGAGGGTATGGCAATGCCCACATCAAAGTTGGTCGTGGTTTGGCCATTGATGGCCACTTCAAAGGCAAGAAGCCAGTCTCCATCAAGGCTTTGCTGCAACACCGACCGGGCCTGCACCACTGGTGACAGGGCGAACGTTGTGCAATATTTGGACGAGGCGCGTCCACTGCGTCCAGCCGAGTTGCCCAAATGCACAGAAATGTTGTAGCAGGTAGAACTTTTGAGGTCTGGCACGACAACCTTGACCAAACCCGTTTCCACCTAAGGATGCCGATGCAGAAGCATGAGCACGTGTGTGTGTGTGTGTGGCAAATATAAAAACACGAGGCCAAATAGGGAGCGTACAGCAGAAGTGGCGTCGAGGGTGAGATTTAGACGAGCACGATGCGTCATGCTAACGACAATCACTTGGACCCATGCTTTGGCCAGAACCGTCTCTTCCATTTCAGCAAGCTAGGAGGCGCGCATTGAGGTATGAGACTCCCCTTTAAAAAAACGGGTCGGAACGATAAGTCCAAAATCATTTGGCAAAGGCCAAAGAGTTGCCACGTACCTGCAGGACCAGGAATAGGTCATTGGGACCGGCCGTCACGTTGGCAATGATGGGCGTGCTTGGGGCCATCTGAGTCATGGCAAGGGTAGGACACACATCAAGGTTCAGTTGAGTGGTGTTGGGCGCAACCACCGCGCGGCATGCTTATCAACCCACAAGCAGTAAAAACCTACAAGAGGAACGACAAAGTTGATGGATTCTTCAAACTTGATGTAGAGCCATGGAATGGAGCAAGCAAGCTGCAGGAACGCCAAGGAAGGGTGAGAGGCCAAGTGCATGGGGATGGTGGACCACGGATACGTATTCAGAGCTGAGGGAGGGTAGGAACATACGGTGGCGGTGTAGGATGTGCCACTGGTGAGACCTTGAAAACTTTGTTCATGAATCTGCGTTGTATCGGAGCTGGCGGCTGTGGGGCGAAACACGCGCGTCTCCACTGGTTTGCAGATGCCTTGCGCGTCACATTGTCGCAGGACAAGTTCATAAACCGTCTGTATGGGGCGAACCAAGGGGGAAAAAAAAATTAAAAAAAACAAACAAACAATCTCAGACGACGAGCAAGTACATGAGGGTCTGGAGGGGTGGCATGGGCGCACCAAGGTCCAAGGCTGTAGGTGCGCGGCGATGGTGGCAGCATTTGGTGTGATGCGGGCATGAAGGTTCAAGATGGGTGAGACAGGCGTCAGGGCAGGGATGGTCGTCCAGTAGCGACGGGGCCCAGGGGCCAAGGCTTGTGAGGCCCCCAGGGCGCGATTGGAGCGATGTAGAAGTGTGGCGCCATTCTCGACAAAATACGGGTGGGCGGCGGTTGGCAGGGAAGGGCCTTCAAGCCAGGCAGTGATTGGATCTAAAAAATAAGAAAAAAATTGCAGCGAGGCCGGACGGTGAGTCAAGGGGGAGTGATTGCTTTACTAAAGAGCGACAAGCTGATGGATGAGTGGGGCAAATATGAGAAGAGGGGCAGGCGCGGACCGTTCCAAGGGTTGGGAGCCAGAGTGGTGTCGTTGCAGGCAAACCAGACTTCGTAGCTCATGTTGAGGAAGAGACAGGGTCGTGGTGGGAGGGCGTTGGTGAGGCTGTCGTCAAAGTTGCAGACTGCAACAGAGGTTACGTTTGGGTCGACGACGATATGAGGTAGGCCCGCAGTGATCATGGCCTTGGCTGCCGAGGTAATAAGGGAGCCTCGAGCGCCATCGACCAGATGCAGCCAATGCAGGCCTGCCAAGACATCAGTTTGGGGCTGCGGGATGAGCAGCGTGTTCCATTGGCAGGCATCTGAATCTGCAGAGGGCTGAGGGAACGAGGAAGAGCAGGTACCAGGGGTCCAAAATAAAGAACAGGCAGGCCGATGAGCGTTCTTAAAGGACTGGGAGCCGATGAAGGGTCTTTGCATGCGGGCTCATTGATCCACATGACGATTGCCAAAGAGACAAAGGGATATACCTGGGTGAGATATGCGGGGCGAGTCCAGTTGCAAACAATGTCGTGTCCATAGAGGGAAGCCGAGGTCAGCATGCGGCAGTCGAGGTTGTCTGCAAACACCAAGCGCCAAACAGAAAGCAAAAGCGGGAGAATCGAGAATTGTCAGGAACGCGTAAGCATGAGCCCACGGGACCACGCTTGTGCGGGATGTGGAGCAGCAAAGGAGGAAACGCAGAGGCGAGGGCGACAGGGAGATGAATGCGCGTTTCTTGTATTGTTGGTTGCGGGGCGGGGCGGAGCGAGCTGAGCCGATGAAAGAAAGCGAAGAAAAAAAAAAAAAGCCAACCAGAGGATTTGAAATCGGCAATCGAGACGGCGAGTGCTGGGGGGCAGCTCCCGAGGAGGATCAGCAGGGCAAGGAGGGCCAAGGTGCGCAAGGGCACGGGCGCTCCGATATCGAGCGGCATCATGACGACTGGCCGCAGGTCACAGGGCCGCGACGCCACGCAAGGCTGGACACGAGTTGAAGATGTCCAGCGGTTTGGACGACAACGAAGCGTTCAGCGAGCTTGCGCTGGCTGGCTGGCTGGCTGGCTGGCATACAAGCGTGTGCGAGGGCGTTGGCACCACCTCAGGCCGGGTCATCGGCGTCAGGCACACTCATCACGACCATGAACGAGATGGCCTGGCTATCCAAAGGGCCTTGCGTCTGCTTGAACAAGAGGTGAACCGGGGTGTCTGCTCCTGTATCGCTGAAAGGCAGCGAGGCAGCCGCTGATGAATGCCCAGTCCAGCTCAGGGTTTTTCTCCTTCTTGTGGCCCTCTGCCACAACACGGTCCGCGCAGCCGACAAAATGAAAGAAGCTGATCTGTTTGAGAGAGAGTTTAGAGAGAGATTTTGAGAGAGAGATTTAGAGAGAGAGAGAGATTTCGAGAGATTTTGAGAGAGAGAGATTTAAAGAGAGATTTCGAGAGAGAGAGAGAGAGAGAGATTCAGAGAGAGATTCAGAGAGATTCAGAGAGAGAGAGAGAGAGAGAGATTCAGAGAGAGATTCAGAGAGAGATTTAGAGAGAGATTTAGAGAGAGAGAGAGAGAGATTCAGAGAGAGGTTCAGAGAGAGAGAAGAACAGTCACAGCACACACACACACACACACACACACATTGGGGAGATGAGAGCAGGCCGAGCTTGCAATCGACTCCCATGCATACAGATCTGAGCAGGCCCTGTGTGTGTGTGTGTGTGTGTGTGTTTCCCAAGACATGTTGATGGGGGTTTGGAATGTGTGCGTCCGCCATTGGGTCGTATTCGCTATGCTACTCCTGCTGCTGCTGCTGCTGCTGCTGCTGCCTGCTGTTACGCTCGGCCGTGTTTAGGGCGACGGCTGATTTCAGATTGTCATGTCCATGGACCTCGCAGGTCAAAACCCCAAACCGACGCAACGAACCAACCAGCCCCCTTTACGACAAGGATGATCCCAATTCATTTCCTGACCTTGCGATACCTTGCTCCCCGCACCTCTGCCTCATTTCAGGCAGATCTGCTCATGCCTTTGACGGACGTGTCGGATCGTGCTCCAAGCATCGCACGAACGCACAGAGAGAGATGTAGAGATTTAGAGAGAGAGAGAGGGAGAGGGAGATCACTCACCGGGGCGGGGGGGGGCGGTCAGAAGCAAGAACCTGACAGCCTACAAAACCTAACCACCCCGAAAGCCCTACAGTGACCTGGCCGGATCCCAAGGGACATCTCCCTCTCCCTCAATGTATTCACCACCACTCATACAAACGGCAGTGATGGCAATCACTCGGCCTGCCTGACCCCAATATTTGAACCCCGGTGTGCCAGGCTCGATGGTGATCGCGCCCGCTGCCGTATGGCCTGAGCTACCCAAACTCGTCGGTGCTTGTGTGTGTGTGTGTGTGTGTGTGTGTGTGTGTGTGTGTGTGTGTGTGTGTGTGTGTGTGTGTGTGTGTGTGTGTGTGTGTGTGTGTGTGTGTGTGTGTGTGTCGCTCTCTGTCTCTCTGTCTCTCTCTGCCTCTCTCTATCTCTCTTGATGCGCCTGTGATGGCGTTTGCCTCGGTGTTTCTTTTCAATCCAGCGGGGCGCTGCCATTTCTGCCGGGTCGGAGTTTGAAGGACGACGCCGCGTCGTATCACATCAATCCACATTGTGTGAGCAAGAGAGAAGAGGTTTGAGAGGTTTGAGAGAGAGGGGCTTGAATTTGAGAGAGATGCTTTGAGGGATGTTTTGAGGGATGCTGTGAACGTTGCTTAAATTAGAGATTTAGAGAGAAAGAGGGAGATTGAGAGAGAGAGATTAAGTCGAAATGTTTGAGATGTCAGAGTCGTCACCGAACAAAAGAAATGTATGTGGTGGATAGGTTGGGCCTACAAACCCAAACCTAAACCCACACACACACATACACGTGAACACACACACACACACACACACACACACACACACACACACACACACACACACACAAAATGGCGGCGGCGTCGGCGGGGTTGAAACTGACGTCGCTGAGATGTATGTTGTAACGATGTGCAATGGGTCTTGGCTTGCTGGAATGGCAACCCTGCATGCAGCGGGGGAAGAGAGACAGAGAGAGAGAGATTTAGAGACTTCGAGAGTTTCTCTTGATTGTCTTTCAGAGCACACGGCGCTTCGCTGCCGTAGTTGGCGAACAAGATCAATTGCAATCAAAGCTATTGGACAGTAAGGGTGCACATGTGCGTCGGGCCGGGGGGTCCCGGCCAGGGCCTTTATTTAGGCGGTGAGGTCGTTCATAAACGCCGTCAAGCGGTCCAGTTGCAGGCGCTGCTCGAGAACCAAGGTCTCGAGCTCGTCGACACGGACCTATGGTACCATCTCGGAAAGATGTAAGAACAAGGCGGCGGCGTCACTCGGAGCCCGCCGCATGTTTTCTTCCCCTTGAGACGACACGCCTTTTGCTAAGCGCACGCACCTCGAGCCGTTGTTGTTCCTCCCGGGCTGCGGTCAACTCGGAGCGTTCTGTCATTGGCCCCGTTTCAAGTTGAATCCGCGCTCCAGAGTCCTCCTCACGCCGACGCCGCACGCACGTCGTGGCGGTGACCGAGCCCAGGCGCCGCAAGCTCAAATCCGAAACCAAAAAGTACCCTGTTTCCAATTCCCAGTTCCCAATTCACAACCGAATGAGCGGCTGACAGTTGCATCGTCCCATTCATTGTGACGCGCATCGCACCTCGAGAGGCTTGAGTCGGCCATCCCAAAAACCACTGGAACATGCCGATGGAATCGTGCAAGTACATGGCTGCGCTCACTCGCTGCCACACGCCCGGCTCGGTGGGCCAACCTCCTGCAGCGTTTTTCAAGTGTTTTGTTTGGTGCATCAACGCTCGTGTGAGAGTTTGTGAATCAGCCAAGGCGTCAAGGGACCAAACACAAGGCGAGGAGAGAAGCGCAACAAGGACAGGGGGTGGTAAGCCAGGTCGCGTACCTGATGAAGCGCCTTCTGCCCAGACATTGAGAATGCGACCGTCGGTATCATGGGTGCTCGAGAAAGTACCGTGCAGTACCTGCTGCGAGCCGTCATAGTCGGGCGAGTACCACACCGAAGCAGACACTTCGTAGTCTCCAGGGCAAAAGGAGGCCATGATATTCAGCTGCAATCAATCGCGCACCATGCTCGTGAGACAGCCCGAGCCGTTGTCGATGGCGTCCAGGGGTGACGACGCAACACACCTCCAGTTTAGTAATGGCTCGCGAGCCCGATGTAGCAAATTTGTACGCGTAGCTCGTTCCCAGTTGCGTGGGCTCATCCAAGGGCACCACTGTGATCCGACCAACGGATGACGAACGCGAAATGTTTTCCCACTTGCTTCGGCCACCTGCCATAGGTACCCAATCACACTTGCGCATTATCAAGCCGCCAAGCATTCAAACCTGGATTCCAAGAAAGCGGCTTCAAGCTGTACGCACCATCCTTCAGCGCATCCGTGTCCATGTACTCGTGGAAAAGCAGTTGGTTTTGCAGCTGATCCTCCAAGTCGGTGACCCGTACGTTGAGCGAGCCCACGCTCGTTGTTGTGGCGTTGATTTGTCCCTGATCAACGGCGCACAAAGCAGAACCAATTTTGAGGCCACCCTTGTACTGACTGCCACCTCGGATTGAGGCCCGCACGCACCTGCAATCGTGCCTCGACATCGTCGACTCGCGTCAAAATGTCGTTGGCATTGGTGGCCGAGTCGCATACGCCCGGTCCAAGTCGACGAAGGTCAAGCCCCGTCGCAAGGACGTAACCTCGAGTGTGACGCATGGGATAGCCAAGGTACCAACGAAAAGGCAGGCTGTCACTCAAATTCAAATCAGCTCTTAGGGTCACCTGGACGCTATCCAGTCCCAAAAAGAGTTTGCATGCATGCGTGCCGAGTGAGCAAGCAACAGTGTGAGACGTCATGACTCTTGGTCCAATGCGTCAACTCACTGTTGCCATTCCCCTCGGACAGTGGGCCAACCGCCGCTCTGAGGTCCGATGGCGTCTGTCGTCTTTTGTCCACTTTCTGGATAATGCCACCTGCCCGCCGAGGAAGCAAATCAATGGGTCAGCGCCATGAACATCCCGGTTGGAAAGCCCTGCTCCCCTGCGTAGGTGTTACCTCGAGTGCAAAAGCTGTTCCCAACCGTCAAAGTCGGGTGATACGTAAGCCCAAAGGCTGAGCAAATATGTGCCCGCACAAAGTGTTGTGACGTTGCCCTCATTCGAAAAGTGTAGCTCATACTCCGAGGAGGCGCCAAAGCCTGATGTCGTCGTGCTGTAGGGATCAAAGCGAAGGGCATGCTAAGCGACAAAGGCGCAAATGCCAAGACATGAGCATGGACAGTTCCCACCTAACCCCATGGGCTATTTCTCATCGAAGACAATCAGTCTTGCCCTTCGATTCAGTCCTTACCGTCAAAGCATCGGGCCGCGTGGACCAGGAAGAAATGTCAACGATGCTCATGTTGCCTCGAGACTCTACGCTGTTGTACTGGCCAGCATCCAGGCCATTGACAAAATCGCCGTTTTTCACAATGTTGGCGGCACTTGTATAGCGCAGGAGATCCGTCGCAAACGCAGCTACAATCCCCGTCATTTTTAAAAAGACCCACGGCACGGCGGAAGAGTCAGCGGATCGCGGACTATCGTCAAAATACCTGCAGCCCGTAACGCTCGCCAAGGAAGAACCGGCATGGCCAGGACCTACCTGAAGCGGCATCCAGACTCTCAAGGCTTGAGGAGGTTCCGTTGCGAAAGGCCTAGTCAATTGGTTTCCCAAAACTGAGTTGAAGAGGAGGATTGCTGTCAGACAGGCGCAAACGAGGCCATTGCCTGACCTCGACGGTCGACGTCAGTTGGGTCAAGTCGATTGCTGAGGCTTTGTTGGCTAGTCGCTGGTCGACATCACTCTTGGAATAGACAGCCGAGGCATCTGCCTTGGCGTCCATGCGTTCATCGATTGCAGCCTTACTGTATACGCCATTCTCATTGGCTTTGGCCGCCAGGAGCTGATCCAGCTGAGCCTGAGTGTAGGTCTGGGCGTGGCCCTGGCGCACTACGTCACACGCGACAAGGATTACAAGCCAATCGCAACATTGTGATGGCCAAACTGCTTTGAGGCAGGCAACGAACCCTCCGTCAGCTGTGCGGCCAGATTGCTGGCCGAAAGCAGCGTCAGTGTGTTGGTCGTTGAGTTGATGACGGAAAAGAGGACATCGCGGCCTTGCAGCACAACGTCTGCAACGCGGGATCTAGGCTCACGCATCAGCGCGCCAGGCGACGCAATGAGGTGGGGCCTGGGTCCCATTGAGCGATGTTGTAGGGCCAACATACCCATCCACCGTAGCAGGGGTGGTCTCGACGGTAGCTGACAACCGGCAGCCCGAGTTATCGGCCAACGCCTCAAAGCCAGCGTTGCACACGCAGCGCTGTTGTTCGGGATTGAACGACTGGTACATGCGACAATCTGGACATCAAGCCACACGGAGCAGAACAGGCATGATGCGATGCGTTTGAGCCAACGGGCCAACGATGCGGTGCCACTAATAAAGGCCAAGCGGGGTAGCTGACCGGAGTCTGCCGCGATCAAAGGCTCAAATTTGGTAGCGCAGAGTACCAACACCACCACACCCCAGCGGATGGCAGCGTCAAAGGACGCCATCTTAGGCATCGACCAGTCCACAAGTTGAGCTTACACCACCAAGATCCCACAACCCGGCCCACACGACGAGAATAAAAATAATAAAACCGGCCGCGCGCAAGCGAGAGAAGCAAGCACCCCTGTCTCCGCATCACACAGCAAGCACGCCCGCTCCCACTGTTTTATTTTGGTTCCAGAAGAAGCGTGCAAGTCCCCCGGGCGTGCCATCCACTGACATGAAACATCCCGCTCTTGTGTGTGTGTGTGTGTGTGTGTGTGTGTGTGTGTGTGTGTGTGTGTGTGTGTGTGTGTGTGTGTGTGTGTGTGTGTGTGTGTGTGTGTGTGTGTGTGTGTGTGTGTGTGTGTGTGTGTGTGTGTGTGTGTGTGTGTGTGTGTGTGGATCTCTCACTGTTGATCGTGTTACAAGCAAACAACAAAACACACACACTCAACAAAGAAAAAGCAAAAAAAAAAAGGAAATCAGGACAAACAATTCTCTCTCATGTTTTTGTTGATGTTTGACTTCTTTTTGGACACGAGCCAGTGATGCTCTCTCTGTCTGTGTCTATGGCTGTGTCTGTGTCTGTGTCTGTATCTCTGTCTCTGTGTCGCTATTGCTGTCTCTGTTTCTGTCTCTGTCTCTCTGTCTGTTTCTGTCTCTGTGCAGCGCGCATGGTGGTGGTGGTATTAACTTTGTAAGTTCTACACGATGGTATTGGGGCAACAAGGAAAAATGGAGACAAGATCTGCGTCGGTCTCAGGATGAAACGAGGATCACACAGTGTGGTTTCAAGTGAGGCTGTGGATAGATTCCTAATCTGAGAAACGAGAGGACAACTCAAACCGGGTGGAGCAAAAAGGTGGCAAGATTTTTTTTTTTTTCCACAAGCATGCGTTTAAGCTGTCGCCCGAAAAGCAACGAGCACGCCTCGCCCTTGCTCCTTAATTTCCAGGACTTCCGCTCCCAGGCCCTGCAATAAAAAAGTGACAAAGACAAAATAAGAATCAGTCAGCAGACAGCTGGCTGTGTCGCCATCCAAGTCGAGGCGCCAGTTTCAAAAATAGCTACCTTGATGATGGTTTCAGCTTCTGCTGGCGTGGTCCACTTTGTCGAGTAGCCACTGGGCGTGGTGAGGCTGCAATTGACCAGATCGATGGCCGACCCATCAAAGGTGCCGCAAAGCTGAGGGTTCTTGTGGTAAAAATGTTGCACCGCTTCACCAAAGCAATTGCCGTTCCAGTATACGACCACAACCACCCCGTCTATGGGCACACAAACGCACGAGGGCAGTCCGCGTGAGAAAAGACCCAAGAGGTCACCGCAATGTGAGAGAGAGTCGACGCTCTCGCGGTAGGTTCTGGAGGCAAGGCAAGACATCGGCACAAGCAAGGGTGCGCACCTGGGCCGGCTAATTTAAGCATTGCGCGGTAAATGGCTGTCTTTTTCGGATCGGGAATGATGCCTGCGTCAAAGGGGGTCACATATGAGTGGTTGCACAAGCATGCCACAACAGGCCAAATGGATGAGCGCGGTGGGCAAAGTGGCGACGGGTAGACTGGGAAGCGTACCAATGGTGTTGCCCACGCATGTCACGAGCTTCTTGGTATCGTTCAAAAACGAGCCAAAGTTTGCATCAAGGAGCATGGACTCGAGAAACTCGGCGTCGCCACACGCAAATCCAACCTGCCAGAGAGAGAATCATATAAGCAGGAGGCGCTGCTGCCCCCCTTTCGACGCCAAGGGATGCGATGCAAATCCTTTGTCGCGAGCGTGTGGGAGGATGTACCTTTTTCGCATACTTTTCCGTGGTTTGCTTCTTACAAAAGTCGACAAAGACCTGGTTCACATCGACACCAATGCAATAGCGTGCCACGTCATAGTGGGGGATCAACGACTCGCCAGTGCCACAGCCGACCTCGATCAAACAGCTTTGGTCTGCACCTGAGAACCAGTCATCTGCAGTGAGACCAGGGTGCCTTGGGAGCACACGGAACATGCTTGGGTTCGTGCACTCTTACCCAGGTGTGCCAGGTACTTGTTGATAAAGGCTGTCGTGTCTTCGTAGAGGTCGTTAAAGAAGGATTTGGTGGTAAAGACGGCGGAGCGCCATTTGTTGACGCTGAATTCTGACCAATCGCCGCCCGTGGAAGGAGAGGTTTGAATGCGCTTGGGATGACCAAGCAAATGCACCACCTACTCACCAAGATCGCCCAATGACACACGTGCACATGACACTTGGCAAGAACGGGTGCAGAACAGCTCGCAGGTGTGGGCGTACGACGAGCTTACCTTGCCATCTTCCAGGTTGAAGCGTTGGCCAACTTTGGTAAGGTTGGTTGTGGAGTACTCGGTGGAGGCGTCCGTCTCCACGGAGAACCAGGTGGCGCCTCGGGTACTAATATATTTCAGGCGGGTTTTGGCGCAAAACTGGGCCAGGGCGTCGGCAACGGTGACATAAGGACGGTTGATGGCGTTGATGGCGGTGAAGAGGGCAGGGGTGGTGGCAATGAGGCCGGCATCGATGCCGTTGTAAGAGTCGAGATCCCAACCAATGTGGGAGATGCGATGATCATCGTCGAGGGGTCGGAAGGCCACGTGAACGGTAGTTTTGGGCAGGCCGACCATGCCCTCGAGATCGGTTTCCACGAGGCAAGCGGCATCGCTGTCGGCCAGGCTGGCAGTGGTCATGCGCTGGTACAACTTTGTCTCATAGAGGTGATCGGAGGGAACAAGCAGAAAGGGTTGATCAAAAAGAGCCTGTGCGCGCACGATGGACGAGGCGTGGCTGTCATTGTAGTCGGCGCCCAGCTCGAGAAATTCGACCGCCAGCTGGGGAAAGAGCGCGCGGCCCTCGTCCACCAGGGGCTGGACGCGGGCGCTATCAGCGACCAAGACCACCACGCGCTTGAGGCCAGCCTCACACAGGCCGATGAGCACGTGATTGAGCATGGTCACCCCTGAGCGAAGCAAAATTTACCACTGTGAGGTCGGGGCGAGGGAGCCGCGCAGCGCCAGTGGTGGGTGGGGCGGACCAGGGAGCGTACCGCCGAGCTTGAGGAGCGCTTTGGGTTCTTCACCGACTTTTTGCTCATGGGTGAGGGTGGCGGCCGTGACCAGGGCTTGCTCGATCCGAGCGCCAGATCCATTGGGCACGATCAAGGGCGAGTCGGGTGGTGTCAGGGCTCCACTGCTGGACAGCGACGCCAGCGTGTGAACCTTGAAGCTCATCTTGCCCGCTGCTGGTATGCCTTCAAGCACAAGATACGACACACACACCAACAGGAGAGGAAAGGG